CAGGCTATCCTATTCTCTGTGCTGTTTTAGGGAACGTTGTTTTTGGTAAATGGATCTCTTAAAGGTAAAAATGGAGGAGAAAGCTCTGACGGTGGGAGCCAATTTCGGATCTAAGCTCTGACGGTGGGAGCCAATTTCGGATCCAAGACGGAAGATTGAAGAAATTCAGAGGATAAGGTTAGGGGGAGAAGAAGTTTTTGGGGAGGTTTTTTGAAGATCAAGGAGATTGGAGAGGAGCTTCATGCTTCGGGTCGGGGAAGAAAAGACGGAGAATTGGGTTTTTCTTCTTCATAGGGTTTTGGGAAGACTGAGGCAATCGTTGCTGAAGTCAGTGTTGTAATGGTGAATCGGGATTTTTTAATGAAGTGGGTTTGATTACTCTTGACTGTTTTGTGAAATCGAGTTACGTCTGCGATTGAAGAATTAAAAAGGTGTCTATAGGATTGAGTATGCGAAATGAATGAAATTTATTGGGATTAATCTAACAAGACAGTCAGTGGATACAAGATCGTAAGTACAAAGCGGTATCGGAGATTAGCAGATTGGGTTGTTCGGGGTTCTCTGTAATGTCTAGAGACCTACCGACTGGGGCAAAAAGGACTTCGACAAGCAGTCGAAGGGCATCCATATAGATTTACGGTGTATTCTTGCAGTCGTTTATATTCCAGCAGTCAAAAACTGATAGACTGCTTGACTATTGGCGAATCTCCATACTACCTTCTACAACCAGACGCCTGGCGCGTTCTCGAGCAGGAAAGCATGTAATACGACAGCGTACCAATGAATCTAACTTGTAATCTTAGAATTGGATAGATTTAGGATTGAAGTTCAATCACAAGTTGTACTTAAGTAATAAATCTTCTAAACTTTGATTTGGTACCATCAAACTTCTTGGGTAGGGTAATTCTAGGTGCTCTAACATTGAAAGGGCATTCCACCATAAAAGAATGCACATGATTTAGTACAGATGTTGAAGTAGTTCCAATCATTTCTATATCTTCACTTCCTGCCAATTTTGTTGCTCTTGTGGTGGTAAATTGAATTGATGCATTACAAGCATTAAATCCCTCAATTACTCTTACATTTATGCCATTGCTTTCTTCATTTCAACAAGTTCTGCTATGATAATACTTAAAAAAAAAATATTTAACATCACTCAAGAAAAGTATAAGAAAGGACTTGAAAACAAAGAAATTATTAAGGACGATATCAATTTAGAAGAGAGTACTCCATAACTTCTAATACGCTTATGTCTTATCAAGAAAACTAAATATTCCATTCTTAATCTAGATTAGACAAATCTCTGATATTATAAGTGTACTCTTGTCAATTTGTCAAGGACAAGAACTTGATAAAGATAAATAAATAAGTGAGACTTTTTTCAAAGAAAGATGACAAAATAGAAAAAACTCAATATGTATATTAAGAAAGATACTGGAATGGCTATTGCCAAAAGACAAGAAAACTAGAGACCCTTGAAACTAAACTAGAAGCAAGAAAAGAATTGATAAGAGTGAAGAGGGCTTCACTCTTGTCTCTATATATACTATCTAATTAGGGGCTACATGGCGGTGTTCTACAAGACTTCCAATATGTATTGACTTTGTAGGATAGATGCCATGACTTACAAGGCAAGTTTTTCTACGTTGTCCTATTGTAACATGACTATATGGTGAAAGATCATAATATGGATCTTATTATAGAAAAGCCAAGTTAAAAGAAAAAGTAGAAAAATATGGATAAAAGATAGGAAGGTAGTAAAACTTTTAGTAGTAATGCTGTCCTTTTAGAAAAAATAGCTTCTACTTACTTTGTAGCACCAAAAATAAGGCAAAATAAGTTAGATTGGAAAAATAAATGATATAGATATTTTAAAAAGAAAGTTAAGAATAAATTCTAGTAAAAATTACTTAGAATAACTAGATTTTGATATCCAAAGAGGGCCGGTTATGAACTAGGGTTGAAATCAGACCCTAAGGCACAAAATCGAGTTTTGACGATGAGTGCAGGACTCTTTGGAAGATCAAAGAAAGAGGTTTGATAGAAGATTGGATAGGGTTTCTATGAGCATTGGTTTTTGGTGATTTGGATCTATATTAACTTTGTAAGAGCTTTGCAAATTCAAGGTTTATTTTGGATGACTTGGATTTTATGAAATAAAATAGGATTTATGTTTTGAGTGATTTCAAGAGTTTTATAATAGATCTACAAGTGAAATTTTGTGGCTTTATGATAATAGTTGTGTTTAATATGTATTATGAATTTGAGCTTGATCTAACGGTTGAATTGAGGATTATTGAGGATTAAGTGAGTCAAGATCTCAGAAAGTAGAATTTTAGGTCTAGTGAGGGTTTTTAAGATTTCATGCAATCTACTCATTGGATTGGAGTTAAATTTATGTGAAAGAATATTAGACTTGTTTTTCTATGTTTTTGAGAATTTTGAGATGAATCGAACAGTGAAAAAGAGAGATATTGGCTTTGGGAGATTGGCATCAAGGTTGGAGAAGGAGGTTGGCCAATACTCAAGCACATTTTTGAGGTTATCGTCTACTTGGTAATTCCGATCCTTTTGAAAAATTTTGAGCTTGTTTTCAACTTAGTTTTAAAAAATTATGTAAAATTTGAATTAAGATCAACGGTTCATTCATTAGTTATTGAGGTTTGAATGTGTTATGAATATTACTAGGGTTTGGTTAAGATTTGGCTTAGGATTTAGAATTTGGTTAGGATTTCATTTAGGGTTTGGTTAGGGTTTGGTTTAGGATTTAGGATTTGATTAGGATTTGATTAGGATTTGGTTTAGAATTTAGGATTTGATTAGGGTTTGGTTTAGGATTTAAGACTAGAATTAGGGTTTGGTTAAGGTTTGATTTAGGATTAGGATTTGGTTTAGGGTTTAAGATTTGATTAGGATTTGATTAAGATTTGGTTTAGAGTTTAGGATTAGGATTAGGATTTGGTTAGGATTTGATTAAGGATTAGGGTTTGATTTAGGATTTAGGATATGATTAGGATTTGATTTAAGAATTAGGATTTTATCTAATTTTATTTAGGATATAAAATTTAATTAGTTTTTGGCCTAAAGTTTGAATGAAGTAAGATTTCAACTAAGATTAAATTAAGATTGAATTGAGATATATTTGAGATATGTTTGTAATCATTCTAATGTTTTTTAAAGATTTCTTATTGTTTCTTTGGAATTCCTTTGAAGTTTCTCTGAATTTGATTAAAGCTTATTTAGCATTATTAGTTTTCTATTAGAGTTAGAATTTTGTTGTTGCAATTTCTATTCTACCTTCCACAACCAGGTGCCTGGAGCATTCTCAAGCAAGACTTCACGTATTACGACAACGTGTGGGCCACATAATTAATTTGGTCTCCTAGCTAATATGCGTAGCACATAGCCAACTTATTGACCACGTTTCTAATCCAAAAAGTCAATTAAAGACACCTATAAAGTCAATGCAGCGTCTATAAAGCTTTTAAGAAGCTTCCATAACAAATATTATAGAATTAACTTATTTTTACTTACTTTTAATTATTTCTATCTATTTATATATGTAATTATTAGCTTACATGCATATGTCTGTGACAGCAATAGCTCTATTCCAAATGGATATAAATAATATGATTGATTTAAAGTAAAGCAATGTATGTTGAATTTGTCATTAACATATTAAAGACTATAACATAACTTTGCAAAACAAACAATATGGCAACTTGCATAGAACAAAATGCGCCTCCAAAAAATGCATCTATGTGTTGTCATTTGAAAAATAATAGGCTATTTGCAAGTACTTGACATCAATTGTCAAATTAGTTCTCAAGTGGTCCATGTAATGATGCATAAGTAGAAAGAGTCATGGTCCCAATATTTAACATGTTAGATTTACTCGTGCAAAGAAATCCATGTCACTTTCTAGAGATGATGATTCCATTAAAAATGCAGTAAAACAAAACCATCACAGATAAGAAAAAAACATAAGTTTTGGTAGAATTCTTTTTTTGTTAAAGTATATTAGATCTACTACTACTTATTTGAATATAGTTTTGAAGTTTTTAACAATGATTAATTAATTGGGAGATATTTATGACTGAATATTAGATATCATCAATAGCTTAAACAAATTATTTATCACCTTTGTTCAAACACAAATAAAATCTTAAATATTTTAAATTTTGTCGAGTTATAAAATAGATTTGAATCTCACCATTTATTGTGGATTTTTTTGTAGTCAAGAAAACAATAATCTAAATATTAACATTATTAAGAAAATACAAATAAATATAAATAAATTAGATGCATAATATTTCTTCATAAAACATTGTAGAAATTTCTCAAATAAAGGTTAGAATCTACTATGTAGCTATGAAAACCTTTTTTATAACTTGTTTTTAAATCTAATAAGTTACTATAGAAGTGTTCCACAACCTTAACACTTGTACCACAAGCCTCATGATTTTCTTAGAAAACCTCTACATTGTTTTTTTTGTTAGCTACTGAATATCAAATAAAATATTTTACCAATGTCACTACTAATTTATGAATGTTTCTCTAGTAATCCTATCTTAATATACTACATTTCTTATTTTTGTATGGATTCATAGTACATATATATATATATGGAAACAAGTTTAGAAACTATTTATTGTAGTTGAGATAATTTTCCATCATTGATTTAGAACCACCTAACCAACATTGTTTTCTCATACTTTTTTTCAAAAAATCCACTTGCTTCTTATTTAGCCACATAGATTTCTTAAAAGTAGATTATTTGCTTTGTTCTCTTGTTCTACCAACTCTTACTGTGCAAAATGCCTTCAAATTAGTATGAAGATGAAAAAGTGGTGTTATATATCACCTGTGATGGAAATCACATAATAAAACCTCCTGCTACAACTTGTTTAAACATTGTGCATGAACAATTGATACTTACTAGGATGAAGTATGAATTAAGTTAAATTATTTGATTTCATTCAAATCTGGTGTCAACTATGAATCTGAATATATACAGGTTTTACAATCATGAATTTGACATGAATGAACAGGATTCAAAAACAACCCAAATTTCTCTATTCACACGTACCAACCATTTTTTTTATGTCATAGAATGACAGTAAAAATGCTGCAGCCGTTCCCTACTTTGTAGAGGGCAAACTTCTATTAAGTACATTATTCTTCATCAAAACCCTGAATAAATACGCACAAGTCTAAAGTTCCTCCATGAAGCATCCTCAAATGAACACTGTCTTGGCAAACCAATAATAGAATGTGTTAATGCCACATCTGCACCTGCGTTCAAGGCTTGTGAATAGACTCGTTAACCTCTACTAGATACCAGTCTCATGGCACCAAAAGTCAACATCGAGCAAATATCAAAATGATTGGCGCATCCAGGAGGCGGCACTCACGGAAACACAGCAGCAAATAGGGGCACTCAAATTTGAGTGTAGCTTTATCTCAAACTGTGGTCATACTTGTTTCTTAATTGTTCATTGTCATCGCTTCTGGTTCAACAATCGAGCAATCAATTCATCCTGTAAAATAAGCACATCGATAAACATCAATCATGGCAACCATCATGGAAAAGAAAATTTCAAAACAATTTAAAACACAGATATTATTATTAGCAAAATGCAATCTACATTACTTCCCTACATTGTCGTTACATACTGCATCCATCAGCCGTAGGCTACTACATTGAACAATACCTTAAGACCCTTTAAAGGAAGCCCTTTCTCTTTGAGCATAGACTTCAGCTTCTGCACAGTAAGAGTTTGAAGGTCCTTTTCAGCATACCGACTAGTTCCGCCTTCTGGATCAACAGACCAATGAACTGAACGTGAGCGCAAAATTGCAAGACATCAACACAAGATTCTTAAAAAGATAATATAAAAACAGCTTGTACTTAACACCACGAGCAATCCACACCCTACTTACCCGGTGCACTAGCACCGCCAACATTTGCCCTCTTTAAAATTGGTTTCTCTTCAGGTAACCGTTCTGCTGGTCTGTATCACAAAAAAATATAATCAATAATGTGAATTTCAAGTACAAAAGATAAAAAATAATTGGGTGACTATTGCGCAATCAATGTTGCTTCCACATTACAGCGCATTCCATGAGCCTCCTCGAAATGGAAAATTTCCGTCTCATAAGTGGATAAATCTCACGAAAAATACGAAAGGCAAACTCCTCAACTTCCCTCCTTTCAATATACTCGAGGAGCGAATTAGAAGAGGTGAACAAGCATCAAAAGCAGTGAAAAGAGAACACCTTTTCCCCTTGCTTTCTTCAGTCGCGGGCACCTTGCCCTTATTGTCTTTTGTAGCTGATTTCGGTTCACCTTTTCCCTTTTTCTTTCCCAGAGTCAGAGCTCGAATAAGAATGTTTGTGGAGTCTGTCTTAATTAATTGTTCATCTGATGGAGAAAGACATTTCGATTCATCAGCATGTACTCCCTGACAACAAAGTACTCACCACAAAACATTATACAGGCCAAGTTTGACCTGCGTGACTCCTACGATGTACCAAATGAAGTTTTAGAAGTCATAAAAGGTATATAGTATACATCCTACATATTGCGTATGAAGAAGCAGAACTCAACTAACCAGGAGGAGAGGTGTCATGTTGACAAATGTAGGTCGTCAACTGACCCTGCCAAAACCCAACGAAGGTCAACACGAAGCAGGATAACAAAAAATCTCTATCATCACTAAGGAGACACTTTCGTTCAACGACACATGTAACCTGTCTTGAATTTGCAGGAGTATGTAAGTCATCTTTAAGACCCACATGAGCCGCATTTGAGCAAGCACTCACACGAACAGTCATTTTCCCATAACTGAGTGGTTTCATTCCAAAAGAAGGGAAAAAGGGTTACGCTATACCCGTCCACCTACAGAACCTTGAAAAATCAATGTTTACTTCGGTAAAATTATATGACATAATAAATTACTGCATGTAAACAGATCTCAGCGTTGGCAGTATTCGACGTTGCTAATTGAGGATCCTGACCGACCTTACCACCAAACTGCTTGCAAATTTCCAGGCGCCAACAAATCCAACTTGAGACCTAAACCTCTAGTGCAAGTGGAACGTCCTAATCTCCGCTCAATATCGCTCAAACGCTCAAAATAGGGTTCAAGAACCTCACAACAAAAATTACGCCTCCTACTAAACATTGATGGCTTCCATCTGGACCAAAACCCTACAATACAACGTGGCTATATTCCAACGCTTCCTGTGAACGTTACTCGGGAGACATCCCCCACAGACGTCCCAACTTCAAAGGAAAAGTTCAAGCTCACACACGACATTTGTGATAAAGTCTCGTACTCTCCGACAGGCATTCAGCTGCACCTAAAACGCTCTGGGAACCACGCACATCACATCTAAAAGCCAATTAATCAGACTTGTCTTTCTCGAAAAGCGTTCCAACATTTGGCATGGCTCGTCAAAACTGCAACATGCCCTAATTGAGAAATAGGCATTATAACATAGTCCACATCGCGAGGGTAGAAGACCCTTACATGACAATCCAGTTCACTTAAGAGCGGAGATAAATAGCTAAAGCAAACTATAGAACACATCACAACAGATCGATTGCAAAGAGAATACAAGCAACTGAACTTGTGAAGCAGTCCCACAACGAAAGAGTCCCAAACACGAAAGAAAGTAAAGACCCACCGAAGTAGACGTCGCTGGCTGTACGAAGCAGCCCCTGGACGGGAGATTAGACAAAAACTGTGCTGCTCCCGCCATCTCCACCTCCTGCTTCTCAAGCCCCCACCTCCTGCTTCTCAAGCCCCCACCTCCTTACCTCAAAGCTCCTCCAAGCCAGAATCGAATACCCAAATTCCACTTCTAATACCCTCAAAACTTCAGCACCCCTCCACCGACATCTCAAGTCCCGCAGAACTCATAATCATATCACCCACAAATCCCAAAAACAAACTCCAGAGTGCAGCGACGCAGGTAGAGAGTATCCGCTCCCTCACAGACCATGTGATACACACACAGGACACGGACGGCCTGGAAACAAACAAAGAATGCGAAGCGGAACCTCAGTCCAGAATGAGCACAGATATCAAGGAGGGAGGGGGGAGGGAGGGAGTGAAGGAAGGAAGGAAGGAAGAATGGAGACGAGAGTCAAGCAATACAAATTGGGAGCCAGTCAGCCAACCCAGTTAGTTCCTTCATTCCACACCCAGATTAATCACAATGCGGTGCCGCATTCTATTCAAAGCCTTGGAATTCACATTGCTCGAGTATCCCCCCCCCCCCCACTACCCCTTCACTCACTCACTCTGTCTCTGTCTCTCTCCCTACCCTCCCCCACTCTCTACCATGGCTCTCTCCTACTCCTGATCATACCCGTCTTCCCTTCCCCGTTTCCAGGTATATCTCCTGCACGTGCGACGTGGCCATTCCTTTGCCTGCCATCTTCAACTGCCAGCTCGGTATTCGAGTGTGAATTGCCTCCCATGTCATTAGCCAATGAGTTGTCCTTCATCCACAGTGGATGGAGGATGAAGGGAGAAAGAGTTGGATGATTATTTATTGAAGGTACATCACCAAGCTTCTTTAAATTAAGGCTTTTCCTGAAAAAAAATCCTAATTTTCCTAGAATAAGCTTAGCAAGATGCCCAAAATTAAGGCACCAACAATATTCCTGCACATGGTTGGAAGAGGTTGCATGACTTGATCCGTGTAGAAGAATACCAATCTATAGTTACAACAGTTATGTCAAGATATGTACGTTGAATTTACCATGGTAAAAGAATTACAAATTTCTTGAAAATCCTCTATGGGGACAAAGTTTGGCCTTATGCTAAACCTACAAGATGAAAACACTAATTAAGTTCTATCACTACAATATTTATTCTATAAGAAGTTCAATTGCGAAGACATAATCTCATAAGATAAAAGAAAAAGTGGACAATGAATGTTAAAACATTTTTTATTCCTTTCTTTGACTATGTAAATTTCAAAAAAATCCTTGTATCTCATTTTGAGACCAAAAAAGAACTCATGTTCACAATCAATTGGGATATTGTAGATGTTAAAAAGTCACATGTTTTTTAATGCAAATAATGAAGAATCTATTCCAACTTATAAACAAGCATTGTCAATTTTTAAGTTGTTTCGAGTTGTAAATTATAACCAAGTTGAGTTCCATGAAAGGTAAGATCTATATTATTAGGGACCATATACAAGACAAGGATTCAAGACCAAGAAATGGAATTAGCTAGACATTAGAACAACAACTAGATTCAAGATAAGAAGGTCCTAGTTAAACCACAAGAAGTGAGTTGTCAAGATTGAGGATCCCCTCAGCCTTGACTCCTATATATACTAGGTCCTTGAAAGCTTCTTGAGAAGCTTCTATAAAGCTTGAGAATAAAGCAAGCTTAAGATCCTTCTTTGACAACTCCCTAAATCTTTATGGTAAAGCCATCTTATCAAGCTACTGTTCTTCATTTTGTCGCTTTTGGTTTGAATGGATGTCGTTGATAGAACCTTTAAACCTTCATTTGTGTATTTATAAGGTTGCCAGCTAATTTCTACATGTGATCGTTGATATCATATCCACACCAATAGACCAGATATTTAAGCCTTCCATGTCTTATCCTTGAATCTAATTCCTCTTCTATCTCAAATTCAACATCATCATTGATTTTAACCATAGAAGGTGGTTATCTTTAACATGGTATGTTCGAATTTTTATACCTTTCCAAAAGTAAAATATGAAAGACTAGATGAATTTTTATCAATGAAGGTAACTCTAAGTAATAAGTTATGTAATTAATTTGTTTTTGAATCACAAATAGTCTCAACCTTTGGTAGTCCAACTTATCACATGACTTGTTGGTTTTTACATTGCACCAAAGAAGCCATACTTTATCACCAACTTGAAATGGAGGATGTTCCTTCCTCCAGTCATCTACTACTAGCTTATAACGTTATTGAGCATTTTCTAGGTGAATCTTCATGGTTGCTTGAAAAGTGGCCATCTTCATAGTAAACTCCTCTGCTGCTAGATTTGTTGACTTTGAAGGCTCTATTATATCCAAATTTAGATGATAACTATAATTTGAGTAGAATGACATTTGCTACATAGATACATAGATTATGTTGCTATATGTAAACTCTGCCAATAACAAGTAGGAAGTCCAATCGTCTTATTGATAGTTGATGGTGTACCTCAAATATTATTCAAGAATTTGATTGATCCATTCCATTTGGCCATCAGTTTGAGGGTGGAAGACAAAAGAAAAGTTGATGTCAATCTTAAGAAATTTGAAAAGTCCCTTCCAAAACCTCAATACAAATTGTGGCCCATGATTCGACACAATGTCATCTCACAACCCGTAGTAACAATAGACATTGTTAATAAAGAGACTTTTCATTTCTTCACTAATAATTGACTTCTTGCAAGGTATAAAATATGCCATCTTGGTCAATCAATCAATAACTACGAAGATAGTGTCAAATGAATTTGATGGTGAAAGATGTGTGATGAAATCTATAGAGATAGATGACAATAGTTGTTTTGGAATAGGAAGGGATTGAAGAAGTTCATCTGGCCAATGTCAAGGATTCTTTGACCTTGAATAAGTATCATATGATGAAACAAATTCTTAACATTTTTCTACATTTTAGGCCACCAAAAGTCTCTAGACAGAAGTTCTAAGGTCTTATTGAATCCAAAATATCTGACTGCAAGGAAGTCATGGTATGTTTGAAGAATACGCATGCAAGTTGGTCCTTTAAGAATGAACAAACGTTCTTCAAAGAATAAGAGGTTATTTTCATAATTGAATTTAGAAGACTCTTCAAGAAGATTATTTGCAAGACACTTGATATTAAGAACAAGAGGGTTCATGTTTGAGGCTTTATGAACTTGATCAAGAAATGATAAATCCACTATCTTCAATAGAATTTGTCACCTCTTTTTTGCCTCTTCCTTAGAAATTTGTTTTTAAGTAAATATCTATAGGATTGGTATCTAATATCTTTGAAGGTTTTATCTATCTATTCTTTTTGCTTCTTCATTGTGTTAAAATAAATTTTAATATCTTTTAATTTTTCTTCATACAAACTTTCATAGAAATTTTGAACCTCATTACTAAAATCCATTCGACTAATAGCAAATGAATTTCTATAGCTCTTCTTTTCTTCATCTTCACTTCTTTTATATACCATCATCTCTTCTTCAAAGATAGACCTAGCTCTGTACAACATATTTACTACCAATATTTCTTTACTAATAATATGTACTAAAATAAATTCAATATTTTTTTTATATAGATTATCTATCTTAGCATGGCAATATCTAAAATAGTATAATTAATTATTATTCCAAGTAATAGAAACAATCTATTTTCAAAACCATACTTGTCTCAATTATATAATTCTTCTGAGCCTTTAAAGTGATGAATATTTCACAAAGCTTTCTTTTAACTTGTGGATAAGTCTTTTGCCTCTCTATAAGAATCTTGGGTCCAAACCTTATAGCAAATATTTTCCTCTCTACATCATCTTGTCCAATAGTCTATCCAATTGCTATGGGACTTGTATCTACTATTATAACTACTGGTCTTCTACATTAATAATCTACTTGTTCAAGCATAGATGGTGAATTTAATATTTTTTAAAGATTTTTTATATCTATCTTTTGTTCTTCTTTTCAAACAAATTCTTTATCTTCCTTTAATAACTTTTGTAATGGCTCTAAGATATGGGCAAAGTGAGGCACCCAAATATAATAGAATATACATGCTCCTAAAAACCTTCTAATTTTTATAACACTTTTATAAGCTTTTATTCTAGATATAGCATCAATTTTATAAAGATTTGGTTTTTTGCCATATCTATTACATATGTATCCCTCTACTTGAATCTCATCAAATCCAAAGCTTAAATTTTTTAAAGATAATTTAAAATTAATTAACTTCAACCTCTCTAATATCCTAATTATATCTTTAATATGCCTCTTAATAAAAATTTTGCAACCTTCACCTTCCATGATTTTATCCTTGTCTTCTTTTCTATCTACTTTTATAGATATATTATCTAAAAATAGAATTTTTTTTTAAGTGTAAATTCTTTTAATATTTGGTTCATAGCATTTTACATATAAGCCACTAAGTTGGTTGCATCTTGAGATAAGGTATACATCCTTGTTAAATTCAAAGGATTCTTCTTAGTAGTTAAATTCCTACTCTCTTTAGTCAATTAAAATTGGTCCTATCCAAAATATAAGTCTCTAATAGAATAAATGGTATGACCTGCAAATTTTACAACTACTTCATCTACTATAAGACTTGATCCCATGTTTCAAATAGTCACTTTGTTTGCTGGTTGCTTATCTTGAATGAATCTTAATGCCTTTGATTTCTTAGATATTGTGAATCATCTATTAGAATAGGGAGCAATCAAAGATTCCAAAATATCTATCTTCACTTCTTATTTTTAATAATTCTATCAATTTTGGAAGCAAAGTTCTAAGTACAAATATAGGCTTTAAATCTTATAGAACATTTGGCATTGTAAAGTTTACTATAAATATTACAATACTAGGATCCATATATCCAATTTCATTGAGAATTAAAGCAAATGTCTTATCATGTTCAATAAGCATTTTTCAAAATATATTTTCTTCCATTGATATGAAGAAATCACCTTTCAACCTTTAGCTTAGATAATGATTCTTAAATAAATTGATATCTAATTTTGTGCTTCTTTCTTATTTTTTAACTATCTATTCAATATATTTCATAGTATCAATTGTTAATCAATTAGCTATAATTTTTATCTTTCTTTCTATAGTTTTATATTTAGTTTAAAGTTTGGCCTCATATTTCAATCTATGGCTTGTAGCAAATCCACCATTTTCTATTATCTCTTTTAACTCTCTATAAGTCCATCCTAAGTATATTTTTACTATAGTATCTACATCTATGCTTATAGCAAAAAAATTTAGAATTTTTATTAAATCATCCTCTAAACTTGCTTCTTCTATTATTCCAACTATGGCTTCATCATTTGAAATTAAATCTACTTTTTTAAGGTTTTTTTCATCATTATTCTATTTATAGAATCTAAACCTTTAATCCTTTGAACTCTCATATATCCATTACTAGTCAAGTTTAAAAATCCAAAATTTATATTATCTACATTAAAATTTACAGATGATTCATTTATATCTATATATCTCCATTCTGCAAGGATGCTCTGTAGGAATCCACAAAGTTGTTTTTCAGCTCTAAAAACATCTTTTTTAATTATT